AGATTGTAGATGTGCATGCAGCAGGATTTTTTAATAATATATTTTTTTAAGTTTCCCTAAGATTTGGCAAGTATTGGTGTGGCTGTTATTGCTGGTATTTTTTTAAAAAAGTAAAAAATAAGGTAAAATGATTTCCCAGCTTCTCTGAACATGTCTGGGATGGGCCTGTGTTCAGTTCCTTAGCAGGGAGCTGTTCCCCTGTGGCTGCAAGGTCAAGCATCCTCCCCATCACTTAGCAGAGGTGTCAACAGCAAGGGGGGGGCACATTTGCAAAGTGGGGAGCACCTCACAGAGGTGGTGGTGTTGGTGTGGTAGATTTGATGGCAGATGGGCAAAGGCCAGGCAAGGACTGCAGGTAAAAGCAACACTTAGAAATGCTGCAGGTGAGCTGTCAGCATTGCATCCCTTCTTCAGGCTTCAAAATACAAGGAGATTTTACAGGTAAAAATGGAGCATTTCCCTGTGCATAAATGGGCTAAACCCCCTCCAGTGTGCACAGATGAGTCCCTGAATGCTATTTTAAAGGACTTTCACAAAAGTTGATTGGAATTGGCTCAGGCCTCTGCAGCAGCATCCTGAGCTGTGCATGACAAACCATGTGTTCCATCTTGCTTGCTTTAGATGTTGTGATGTTCCTGCAAGGCTGATACACAAAACCTGCTGCATTTGCATTATCTTCTTGGAGCCACTGGATCAAGAGAGGGCTTGAGGGTACTCTGATCTCTGCCATGTGGCTGTAAATCACAAAAAACATGGGATCTGAGCCAATGCCTGGCTTTTTCCAGATAGGTCTGAAATGTTAACACATCAGTGCTGGCACTTCCCCTATGTTAACTTGTGTTGAATCCAAGGGTTTCTCTTGGAGTATCAGGGGTGGAAGGAAAAGACAGCCATTGTCCTGGACTAGCCTGCATCCTCCTGGTCTTCTGCAGGTGGCAGAAGGCTCTGCTTGATGCCCTAAGCTAAAGGCATGCCAAAAACTGGGTGGCTTATGTCAGCATGGTACCATGGTCCAGCGCATGAGCTCAGACCCTCAGGAAGCTCAGAGGACAGTTTGCTCATATCTGCCTGCTAAAGACAGTAGAACTAATGCCCAGGATGTGTTTGTGTAGAGGGAGTAGGAAAAGCAAATCCGAACCTGAAAAGGCAGAAGGAAGACTATCAAAGGGAGCATGGGGGGCAGCTGGCACTGTTGCAGCAGTGGCACAGATGCATAGGAAGGCAGCTTTCTAATAAGAGGCATTTTGTCTTTGCTTACACCAAAATAACGTCACCTTTTTGAATGTCTCTCTATTTTTCTATTTGTCAGTGACTGTTCTTGCCATATTCCATGAACTCCAGGTTGATGTTGAGCTGTATGCCCTTCTCTTTGGCGAAAGCGTCCTCAATGATGCCGTTGCCATAGTGCTGTCTTCGTAAGTGTGTTCTGTTTTTATTTTTAATTGTTATGTATGTTCCATGTCAGGTGTTGGGGGGAGCCACTTGGCCTTGCTCCTGTAACCTAGGGGCACGGGTGTTTGCAACAGCAGATTTCCATATTAAATGTCCCTGAAAGCTGTAGTGACCTTCTGATGCATCTTTGCAGCTTGGGATTGTGGGTTGTACTTACAATTTCCCCCCGCATGATGGATAGTTTTGTTTTGCTTCTGTGGCCAGTTGACCCAGCTAGAAGGAAGTTTTTATGTCCCTCTGAAATGGGAGAAGCACAGTCTGCTTTTCAGCCACAGGATCCCACTGAAACCCCTTGCTGGTGGCTTTGCTCCTACCTGTCTTCCTTCCCATCACAAGTACCAGCTTTTGTTTAGGTGGAAATGGTAAAGCAGCTGTTTCTTTTCTCTCCCCGCTTTCTGTGCATCAAGAAGATGATATTTCTTACAGCCAGAGTTAATACCCTGGACTGAACACGTGGGAAACTTGCTGGCTTTCTAAAGAATGTTTTATATTCTTTAATATTTTATGTCCTCTGCATGTAGGGCGTATTTTATCTGCGTTTTCACTGTGTTGTCATCATGGGAATTTGTTTGGAAATACATCATATCTGCAGTGGTGACAGGTTAACGTATGGCTAAGACTAATGCAGAAAATATTTTTGGAATCCTTGTCACTCAGGCATGCTGGTTGTGTGGGTTTGACTGAGATGGAGGCAGCAAGTAACATGTTGTGAGCTGTGTGGTGCCACCCGCGTGAGCTGTATTTACTGAATTGAATGTTTCTGTTGGGGTTTCTGGAACTGTGTGTTGCTCACTCTGGCTTTTATGCTGGATGTGTCACCACTGGTGTGAGAGTAAATGCTGGACAGCCAGGTCGTTTTTAAGAAGTGGTCCTGAGTAGGGAGGAGATGGGGTCTTCCAGCCTCTGCTGGCAGGCTCTGGGAGGGAGTGGAGGTGTTCAGCAGCAGATAACAGTTGTAGTGGATCTCTGCACACGTAGGTGGCTGTACCCTGTGTGATGATTTGCCTCTTGCACTGTCTCAGTACCAGCTTTGTAGCTGTTGCTCTGATTTCCTGCCTTCCTCTTTCCACAAGCTGAGTTCAATCCACCCCACTTCCTGAAATAAGGTAATTTGCATCAAAACAGCAGCTCCGAGCTGCAGTCAGCAGTTATTTTGCTGCAAGGCTTTTGTACAGCCCAGCCCAGCAGCTTGCTGACTTCTCAAGGGCTTCTCAGCAGTTAACCCATACCCATTTTCAGTCTTGCCGTGGTCTTTGTCTTTGTGGTCACCATGAGCAGCATGAGGCAGCTCTGGTCAGCGTGATGGGTATTGGTCTGTGTGGGTGTCTCAAGGACAGCCTTCAATCACCTGGACACAACCACATCTTGGGTACAAGAGGGAGGTGACAGCCTCTTGCTCCAGGGCGAAGAGCTCTTCCAAGAGCAGTCCGAGCTCCTACTCATGGTGCCCCTTTTTAAATGTAGTTTGGCAACTGCCTGTTTCACAGCAGAGGGGTAAGTGGGGGAATGGCCTGGGGATGGTTCTGCTCCCACAAGCAGAAGACCTGCTCCCCAGTTAGGAGATGGAGGGCTGAGTTGGGAACATTGGGAATCAGGTGGTTTCTGGGCAGGTGGGCTGTGTTGGTGGAGGAGCTGCTGCCTGAGTGACAGCTGGTGGTGACTCCCACATCATTCCAGGGGTGAAGGGGGGCTCCAACCACAGCTGACTGACTACATGGGTTTGGTGATTGCCCCAAAAAGTACTGTCAGCTCCTTGCAGGTGGTGAAAGCAAGCTCTGCAGGCACTGTCCATGAGCTGGGGGAGGATGAGGAACTGGAACATCCCCACAGTCTCTTCCAGGAGTTGGGTGCCCTGAGGCTTCTCTCCTCCCTACAGTCAGTCTCTGAATGGAGAAATGTCCATTCAGGTGCTTGGGGAGCAGAATCCACCCATGCCTTTCTGTTCCTGCCTCACGCTAGCCTGGCTTGGCTTGGTGGCAGGGAACTGGTTGCAGGATGAAGAGGAATTGAACCCGGAACCAAAAGCCAGTGGGCAGCAAGCCAGGACTGTGGTTCAGGAGCAGGGGGGTAAATGGAACCACAGGGTCTCTACTCGCTTCCTCTGAAGGGAAGTTTCATAGCAGCTAAAT